TTGTTGAAGGTCATACAGTACTATAGTCCCTGTCAAATGTTATACACCTTGAAGTTCCAGTTCAGCCCTGGAGTTTGGTGCCGCATGCAAAACACAAGATGACCACACTAGATCGAGACATCCTAGCAAGAGTGTATAGTCAATCTTGACAAGATCCTATGGTAACTGGACCTGCTTGCTCTAACAATGGAAACGGCTAATGGCAAATCCATTTCTTTGTTTGCTGATCCCTTCGAGTTACCAAGCCTCTCAAAAGTGATATTCCCAGATTTTCGTCGTCGTTTTTGCAGAAAACGGGCTTATCAAAAACACGCAGTGATGAGACCTCTACATTCATTCGTCAAAACAATGCCATTTTGAGCGAATCACTGTAGCTGATCTCATAAATGCACAGGGACTAGTGCATCGCCAATAACTCAAGCTACTAGCATCATCGGTGTTACATGTAGTGGATCGATAATTTGCTCGTGCACCAAACGCGTGTTTATCGCGTGGCCGCTCTCTGCGCGCTTGATCGGATCTGATTACAACTTCAAGTTGGTTCAATTTTTACCCAATAAACGGTGAGATCGCAATATGTTAGAATTTGTTCGACACCAGGCGCCAACTTTGATTTACTACTAGTACATGACAAGCCCAAGCGCGATCGTAATGCTGTAGCTTCTGGCACTCAAACGATACCTTTTCCTGGCTTGTACGACCACGTCGAAGAATTCGTGCATAAGTCAATGGAGAGAAAAGTTGTCGAGAATTTCACAATGTCACCTTATTCGTTCACCTTACATCCGCTCTCCATTTCCATTTCGTGCTACTCACACACGCGCGCTCTCCCATTTAACGCTTGGGACAGACGCGAGTTGACTTCTGAAGTTTGACCCCGAACTGCTTGCTTAGTCGTGATTCGCTGCTCGTGAAGTCCGCCACTGCCACTGACAATTAGTGCGTACAGCTCCGCTTCGGTGTGTGGTGCTAGCGCTGCGAGACTCCGGGTGCGCCACTTCTGGATGGAGCGGCGGATACTCGGGCGTGACAGCACGTGCGTACAGAGCGATTCCGGCGTCCCACCGCCCCATCCCAGAGCTGCTTGGCGCGTCCCGACGTCACTGCTAGTCACAGCAATATTCCGCGTATCTATAGACACTCAAGCTTACCGGGGCATCTCGTGTTTTGCATGCGGCACCAAACTCCAGGGCTGAACTGGAACTTCAAGGTGTATAACATTTGACAGGGACTATAGTACTGTATGACCTTCAACAAAGACACGCCCATCTCCACACCGAACATTGGAGGGTCTCTGCATGATGTTCATGAGCGCATGGTTCAACGTCTTCCCCGAGAGCTCTCAGTCTTCGGACTAGCATCAGCCTTCGGGCTAGCACCAGCGCTGCTAACTTGTCTCCATTGCGCTTGAATAGCTTGACCTGCAGCGCTCACCATTGCCCGCATCATCCAACATCCGCGGCCGGAACGAAGGCACACAGCAGGCAAGACACGCGCAGCCGCAGCATATTCTACCCAATCCTGAGGCGTAACAGCGCCCTTTCCATGAAGTGTGCGCTGCGATTGGTGGAAACCCCCACAACAGCGTGCTTGAAGTTGGCTGCCCAAGGGGCTTCTCGCCAGGATCCAGGTTTTTGGGAAACGGGTACGTACGCCCCCAGCAGGAATTCATTCCCCAAGTTGTCTTCCAGTGCACAAGCGGTTCTTCAGTCTTCGGCCCCAGAACCTCCTTTCAATCAAGTTTAGTTACTTTAACCATGGTCAAGTCGGACGTGTACAGCTCCCCCATCGTCTTCTCCCAGCTGGACCTGCGGGTAGGCAAGATCACCGAGGTGAAGGCGCACCCGAACTCGGAGCGCCACTACATTGAGAAGGTGGACATCGGCAAGGGTGAGGAGCTCGAGATGGTCATGGAACATCAGCCGTACTTCGCGGAGGAGGAGCTGGTAGACCGCAAGGTTGTGGTGCTATGCAACCTCAAGATGGTCAAGGTGGTGCGCACACGCTCCACGGGCGCCATCCTGCTGGTGGCCAACGACAAGGGCAAGGTCGAACTACTGGACCCAAGCCCAGAGGCTGAGATTGGCGAGCGTGTGTACGCTAGCGGCGAGGAGGTGCAGGAGCCCGTGACTCCCATCCAGATGAAGAAGAACAAGGTATGGGAGACTCTGTGCAAGGACATTAAGACCAACAACAAGTGCGAGGTCATGTACCTGGACCGATACCCGGTGCGTTCACGGGCGGGTCCCGTGCGTGTCGAGTCGCTCAAGAAGGTGCTCGTAACCAAGTAAGAGCGACGATTGGCTCGTGTATCCCCGTCTAGTAGTATGTACGTTGAAAGCTGGCGAACGACCACAAGCGTGGAAGCGAGCTGAAGTTCGGAAAGCAAGCAAGCAACCGCCCGCCTGCAAAAAGGAAGGGTCCGTTCTGTCGCGATCTTTCCAAGAAAAGTGAAAAACCGAAAATATATCTACGAGTTGCTTGTGTTTGATAGCGATGCGCGTGTTTCTACAGCAACGGAGCCATGAGGATTAGCCGGTGATGGTCCGGTCTTCGGGTTGGTCGTGTCACTGGGGCGGTTTCCCTGCCGTTGATATGCTTTTCTCGTAGCTATGTCTTGAAGCATTCGGTGTTTTGTGCTGCCATCCATCGAGAGTTTGAGAAACTCAATTGTTATTGCTTGTCAGCGTATCCGAACTTTGATAAAGCGCGCATGAGGCATCTGGATATGCCGTCCCAGTAACATCCTTGGGAGTAGTATCTCAAACTCAGCATCCCAACAGTTAAACACTGCTACAATTTATTGTTGTTAGGATTGTAGCCGTTGAGCACGACGTGAGAATGATACTTCTCATCTGAGGATATCAACACAACACCACCGTATCACTCCTACTTTGCCTTCACGAATCGCCCGCAAAGGTGCCGTCGTCGCCGCCATCTCCACCAAAATCTCCACCAGTGTCTCCGCTGAAAGTGTACGTGTTGTTGGAAACGCCACCCACATCGCCACTGTATCCACTGTAGTTGTTGCTGTTATTGTGGCCACCGTACATGGAGCCCAATGCGGCTCCGACGCCCAGGCCTCCCAGCGCTCCGAGTGCACCCGCTGCCATCGTGTTACCACCGCCACCACTCTCGTGGTACGGAGACGATTCATACGCCACGGGCGCCGACGCGTAGGCATAAGGAGCCTGCTGTTGTTGGCCCGGGTAAGTGCCGTATTGGCTGGTAGCAACTGGCTGCGCGTACACATACTGTTCCTCTCTCTCCTGCTGCGCACGACGCGCCGGAAGGTAGCAACAGCACACGCAGCATAGCAGCAGCAATGCGAAGAAGATGAAGGTACCAGATACACCGCCCGAGTGTGAGCTCGGATGGTAGTCATCGCCTCCGTAGTGATAGGTGGGAACCACACGGCGGCAGCGGCATTCGTACGGACTGGCGGCGCACTGTGCGTCCCTTGGACAGCAGCACGGCGCACCCGACGCCATACCGATGCAGAACTGGCCTGGTTGGCCACGGAACGCATGGTCGCACTGACCGGTTTGTTGGCAGAGGCCGCAACCCGACAAGGCGGCGGACAGCGTCGCATTCTCCACGAACTCTTCGAACTGCTGGCCAGACCTCAACAAAGCAGCATCGCTATCGCCAGTGGGAGCCAATGCGGGGGATTCCTCAGCGCAGACGCCCAGTGTCGAAAGCAACAGCAGCGCGAGCCACAAGAAGCGTTGCATGTTGAAAAGATTGATGTGGAAAAAATGTCACTATAAATGGATATCGAGGGACTCAGTTGAGTATCATTTGTGTCTGCCACATAACGGAGCCATCGGCCAGCCAAACTCAATTTTGCCAATCAAGATGAGCCGCATCTTCGTGGGACTCGAGACGTCTTTCGTCCATGACCTCCCAGCGACGCTCGACAAGGTCCAGCTCATCTGCTGCATCTCCTTATTGCGGCCGTCACTGTACTCATTTTATTGTATTGTTGCTCTCTTCAGGTCTTCGAGGACAAGATGAATGGCATCGTGGCGCCGCTCTTCCATCCTCGGTAAGATTATTGCGTCGCTATCACATTAATATTTGCAACTCATCAATATTACTGCCACTGCCAGCTTCAAGCGCGATGACCAGGAGGTCTCAGACACTCGGGACGGTTCGCAGGCTCGCTCGGATCTGGTCATGGACTCGCGCGGGTGGACTGCATCAGTGGTGGGCAATATTTCCAAGTGGATGGACCTGGATGCTGCCACACTGGACGCTCGTCTGAGTGCAGAGAAGGTCTTTAAGCAGGAAGTAGCCTGGGCTTCGCATCTATCTGTACCGGCCGTAATGCTGCCGGCGCCGCGCCACGCTCACGCCTCCGCCAACTACGCGCGTGTACTCAACCAGTCGCTCACACAGGCGCAGTATCTCCAGTTTTGGGTGCGCATACCGTTAACGTCGAGATATCAGTCGGACGCCAAGGCACCAATGGAGCTCGATCCAGTGACTGGACTTCGTGGAGCTGCCATGATGGAGACTGACGAAGAGGACGAGGAAGCCTCGGACCCGTGGGAGACGTGGGATGCACTACGAACTCGCTGCGAGTATCATTCGAAGCTGCACGTGGCGCTGGAAATCACAGCTGATCTGCCTAGCACCGAGGAGATCCAACGCTGGCTAGGCGAACCTGTTAAGGTGAGTGGTGCACGTTGTACTGAAGTATCTGCTAAGGACGTTGCTGATACTGGTGCGTTGTCGTAAATGTAGGCGGCTATTATCCCGACGGATATCTTCCTGACGAACCGCAAGGGTTATCCGGCTCTGTCCCAACGACACCAGAAACTGATGGCACAGCTTTTCCAGCACAATATCCAGTTCTACCTCCGTGGACGACCACGTCACCGTGGGAAGCTATTGCCGTATGTACAGTATCTGCATTTCCTGTACAGTAAACGACCGAGTCAGGACCGTAAGGCGCAATTTGAGGCGCCGTATCTAGACTACCTCCAGGCCCCACTGCAGCCTCTCATGGACAATCTGGAGTCGCAGACGTACGAAACGTTCGAGCAGGACGCCTTCAAGTACAACCAGTATGAAAAGGCTATCACCCAGGCATTGGAACAGACCCCAGAAGATAAAGAGTCTGTTGTGATGGTTGTTGGCGCCGGTCGTGGCCCCCTCGTACGCTGTGCTCTTCGCGCCGCTACTGTGGCTAACCGCAAGACCAGGATGTTCGCTGTCGAGAAGAACCCGAACGCAGTCATCACTCTGCGTAACCTCAAGATCTCGGAGAAATGGGACAACGTCACGATCATCGCGTCAGACATGCGTAGCTGGCGCACAAAGGAGCGTGCTGACATCATGGTGAGCGAACTTCTGGGATCTTTTGGCGACAATGAGCTGTCCCCTGAGTGCCTGGATGGCGCGCAAGACTTCTTGCATGGTAGGTATCTATGTGCTTTTGATCTGGTTGCTAGAAGTCACTAATTCTTGGTATGATGCTGTAGAAAATGGTATCAGTATTCCGTGCGAGTACACGTCGTTTGTGGCACCGGTTATGTCTTCAAAGCTTTGGAACGAAGTGAAGGTGCACGACTCGCTTAAGAGCTTCGAGACGCCGTATGTAGTGCGACTACACAACTTTTACGCACTGGCACCAACGCAGAAATGCTTCCGCTTCACTCACCCGAAGTTTAACTCGCGGATCGACAACAGGAGACAAGCAGAGCTTCGCTTTACCGCAGCTGAGAGCGCTGTTGTACATGGTTTGGCGGGTTACTTCGATGCCGTGCTGTTCGGTGATGTGACGCTGAGTATCGAACCGGACACCCACTCGGACGGCATGTTCAGTTGGTTCCCCATTTACTTCCCGTTGCGCCAACCACTGCGCTTCCATAAGGGTGAGGAGGTCGTGGTGAACTTCTGGAGACTCGAGAACAACAACCGCGTATGGTACGAATGGTCTGCGTCTTCGGGTGATGGCAAATGCCACGTCCCGATTCACAATCCCAATGGACGGTCCTACTGGATCGGACTGTAGGAATGTCATCAAGACGCATTATTAGTTAGCTAGCTGGGTTTTGAGCTACCAAAAGCTAACTAAGTGAATGAAGTCGTGTCTAGAGCTCGTCACGGGTCTCTGATTTCTTCACTGTATGGACGACCGTGTCTCTGGTACTGCTGTCTTCATCTTCTTGGACATTTTCGTCGGGATGAGCGACTTTGTCCCAGTCGTGCAAGCTCCCGCCAACAACATTGAGAAATAGGTTCTTGAGTGCTTCCTCTACTTCGTTATCTCCTCCAAATCCACGTATCTGATAGAGGAGCTGGGCAAGAGTTTTGCTGCATCGTTTCACTCGCTTTGGCCAGGCCGAACGGGTTGAGTACTTTTCAAGCAACTCCCATGCGTCGGCGATACCATTGCTTACTGCAAAGCGGAGACGTGCAGCATCGCCCTGTGTGTCTTTGAGACTCGATAGCCTATTGCCGGTGGTGCTGGAGACGGCGAGGACTGGAATTGTGATGTTATACGCGTGCCAACTCACTTGAACACCAGGTTGAGTCATCAACGTTGCGTTGTCTTGATGCATGAGTATCACGATGTTCGCTCCACGACGTTGAGCATTCGACACCTTCTCAAACTCGGAGCACCTTCCTGCTTGGCCTGCTGGTGTTATCACCGCTTTCCCTGCAAACTCCGAGTGGGTTGCGATATCCTCCGTGGCGTCTGTGCATGCTTGGCTTCCATCGAGTGGAGCAGCCAAAGGGAACGACGTCTTTGTGGGTAGTATACTACCATAGGTCGCTGCTAGGAAGCTGCCTAAGCGGGTTCCATCGTCTCCCTCCTCGTCAACAGACAAGACCGAGCCACCGCGTGCTATTGCCGTCTCCATGTAGTCTTCCTCGATCTCATACCGAGGCTTGCACGTGTACGGTTTGCGCTCGCAGGTCATGGGGATAAGACGACCGTAGATGGCCATCTGCTCTGCTGCAATACGCAGCATATCGCCACCCGTGCGTCGGATCATAACGGACGCGATAGAGATTTCATCGTCGTTCTTCAGTGCCGCTACGGGGGCACTGACGTCGTCGGTGGGGCTCACCACTAAGAGAGCAGCAGCACCCATTTGATCGGCTAGCAGCGCTTTGCGCTCGAACGTGCACTCCCCGCGATCTACAACCAGCACTGCAGAGCGGTTGGAGGCTTCAACTTCCAGCAATTCTGGCTCAGGAAGTAGCTCGCAGCCGAAGCGGTTTTCGCTGAGCTTCGGGAAGTAGAACGAGACCTCGTGAGGTGCCATGGGACCACCAAAATCGTCGCGGAAGTACTGGATGGGGGCCAACCCGTTGCGCAGGTAGATGCGGCCCCATGGGGATTCGGGGGAAACTGTGGTGGTGGTAGTTGTGGTTTCTTCTTCACCGTTGGAGAAGACGAAGCTCAGGGCTAGAACTAGCAGCAAGGCAGGTGACTTCATGGTTGTCTGCGCAGTAGGCGTGAAGGCGACTGATGGACATCACCACGGATCTGTGCGTCTCTTCGATCTATTAATTTAGACGAATCGATTCCTTTTATGGAAAGTAGATATAATATTATAGAGGCCAATTTTGTCATACATATTTTTTCCTCATTTCCAACACTGAAACTTTCTGATACTATGGGTTGTTAGAGCGATGGCATTCATCATACGACCCATGAGGTTGCGAAAGCTTCCTGTGGATAGATGCTGGTGTCATTGCTACTTTCAAGCATCGATACCGGTGCAAGTAACTGTATTGACCGGTCAGTTGTAGCTCAAACTTAATACTTCTCTGTCCCACGAATTTATGGCTTTTTGACAATTTTCCGCCTAATTATATCTGTAGGTGGAATTTTGATGCACTGACACCCTTGTTCGAAAGCTTTCGGAATAACGGTTCTCCTCATATTTTTTGTTGTGTTAACGGCAAGTAGGATGCAAATAACAGATCAAGAGTGGCGCCAAATTGCAGCTCGATAAGGTTTTTTTTTTTTTCGTAATTCCACTCAAAAAAAGCGATATTAGATCGAACTTTAACCAGATGCTCCTTTTGGGTATCTCAATACATATCGCAAGCCAAACCGCTCACAATCGCACGCAAGATCCCTAATTAGGCCCTCAAAGACGTGAGGTTTTTTGCCCGTTAACATAATTGATGACATATCATTCGAAAATTCCAGCCAATCATATTTCAGGACGGATTTAATCGAATAATTAGTAAATAAATCCTACGATTTATGATACTCAAAAACCGGATCATTTATTGATTTAGAATCTGTCACTTCTCCTTTTGTCAACGACTGAGTGCATCAGCTTATTGGATGGTAATAAGAGAATAAATATAAGTACTTCCTCTGTCCCACGAATTTATGCCTATTTCGTTTTTTTGTGGTTCACTCAAATAGTTACAATCATATTGTTGGACAAAACTTTTCGTGTTTAGGGTTAAGTAAAATGGATGGCGGTAGACATTAATTCTTCACAACAGAATTCTCCAAACCAACAACTGAAAATGGCCCTCTTAAGAAGGCCCCTTCGTTACGGCACGGTGTCGCTAGCAGTGAAGGTCTTCCGCATAAGCCGGGCAGCCATCAAGCAGATCTGGGCCCTCCGAAATGACCCATCATCCCTCGTACTTCCGCGCAAGGCGTACTGTAGACAGTGGCTACAAAGCGCTCACATCAGCTCCTTGTGTCAGCTAGATCATCACCACGCGAGCGGTGCTGCCTGCAGATGTTTCCCTTTGTAGGCAGTTTCATCTACTCTGATTAGCTATTTATTTGTGACTTAAAGTGGCTTCACTCATCTTATTGGTGGATCTTCCTATCTGATCGGTGGACACTTCCCACTAGCTGGTGAGATGACTGGCAATTCAGCCATCAAACTAACAATCTGGAGCTGGTCTTCGCGAAGGAAATCGTCGAGAGAGTCCCATCCCGAATCCATGGAACGGAGGGTAGCGTGGTCTCCGGCTTCGATGACTTAAAGTTCGGATCTTCTAAGCAGAAGCTGCTTCACCGAGCAGGTTCAAAAACGATGCTTTCGCCTGCGCTAAAACTTCGAGGCGGCAGCGTTGTCTCTTCCTAGTCCGCCTACGTAGCACAACTAATACCACGGCATCACGAGCGCGGTCAGTACGCCGAATCGCATTGGCCTCACAACAACAAGGGCAGTAGCAATGGGTTTGATATGTCCTTCGATCTCTCTATTACGACGGAGAGACCGAAGGACATATCGAACACATTCAAAGACTTATTCCCGGTTCACGAGGTAGTATTCCAACAGGACATCGAGTGGCGGGTAGCCGGGTTTACGGGGAGAGAGCACGACACCATTCGTGATGACATGCATCCAGAACCAAAAAAACGAGAGCGAAAGCGTTCCGTTGCTGGCTTAGCGGGTGGCAATATTGTGCCGTGGAATACATAGGGTAATACCATAGTCGCAAAATTAAAAATGAAAATACCAGCAGCAGCTTTTGGCGCGTTTATCGCTGATTGGCCAACTCAAAAACCACCAGTAGCCTACGCCGCATTAGTCCACAACATTGCTTTGTGGCAAGTGGGAGTGCAACGACCAACCGGACCTGCGAGTTGCAGTGCGGCGTGGTTGAAGCTCAAGTTCAAATTGGCTGCAAGCAAGAGCGGCGTGGTTGCATCTCAAAATTAAGGTGACCAGCTGTGGCAACTGATGCCATTTGCTGTTACCCACAAATTTAAGTTGAACTGCCAATTTATTGCAGCAAAATCCATCCGCTGCCAGCGGCAGTACCAACGATCCCCTTGGATTTGAGCTAATGTAATTTCCTGCAATTCTCAAATCCAAGATGAACTGTGGCAGTAGTGTTCTATACTGTGTTTCAGTATACTCGGAAATCAATTGGTCGCTGGTTCGATTCCGGCCACTCGGATTTTATTATATCGCACGCATCCTTCTCGCTT